CGCGGCGAAAAGATAGGAGATCCGGAATCGTCCGGATCTCGGGGGGTAGTTCGTTCCAGAGGGTGGGGGCACCCACAGAGAAGGCCCTCCCCCTGGGGGTCGCCAGCCGACACTGCTTGGCCGACGGCACCCTGAGGAGGCCCGCTCTGTGGGAGCGTACTGGTCTGTGAGAGGAAATCTGTGGCAGAAGGCGGTCTCAATTAATCTTCTCTAGGATAGTAACTTTGAAGCATATTGGGGCTTCAACCCCCTCAAACTCCCATTATGGCTGAAAATTTTGAGAGCTGTAGCTAACAGATTTCAAGGGAGCCTTTACAAGACAGACTAACCCAAGGGGTGGGTAACTATGGCAACTTTACGGCCTGTGGGCTTCAACTCCTAGAATTCAACCAGCCATGCTTCAAGGAATTGAAGTCCACAAGTTGTAAAGTTGCCATAGTTGCCCACCCCTGGACTAACCTATGACGGAGCTGATTTTTCTTGTAGGGTTCCTTCTTCTGACATTGTGTCACATAGACATTGCACATACTGGACAATGCCTGCAATGTCAATAAAACCAGAGAAGAAAAATCTTTTAATGCAGCATCCTGTTTCTCACAGGATATGAGTAAGGCATGAAGGAAACAGCCTTCTCCAATGATTGTTTGCTCAGAAATGATATTCAGAATTGGTATTCAGAGGCAATACCTCTGCATGTAGGGGATGTCTGTGCCATCCCACTTAATAATACCGTTTCTGCTATAAAATTTGCCTAATCCCCTTTTAAAATCCCGTTCCACCACATATTGTGACAGTGAATTCCACTAATTACGTTCTTCCTTTCGTCTGATCGACATCTCTGTCAATTGAACTGAATGTGGGTATTTTTAAGAGACTTTTTGTGGTCCATTCGCAGCATATATTTCCAAATATGGTTCAAATCTATTAATTGCCAGTCTTTTGTTCCCTGACAGATGATGTGCAAGCAGTTAATTGAGGTAGTTGTCAAGTCGATCACAGATGGGGCCCGGCAGCACCAGCAAGTAAGTGCAGATGCAAACCAATTGAGAAGGGAAGATGTGTTTTAGGCAGTGGGTGATCCGGTGGAGATTATACACTAGACTTACATTGTCACTAAATGATAATTTTGTTTCTTAGCTTAATAAAATATTTGAACCTAGCCGCTCCTGCTTGTAATACTTGCACCCTAGTGTTAGATAAACCAGGTTATTAAGGCTTTTGCATCTAAAAATAATTATGGTTTAGCATAATTTGTGAGCCCAGGTTACGAGTGAGTTCCTGTCTCATTCCTTTCCCCCTTAATTTACAAATTTCCTTTATGGTTGGTATTATACCTATGTCGGTGCTAATTATGATTAGCTTCTATCAGAGTCCCTAGCATTTTTACCAAGATGATGACAGTTGCATTACATTCACATATGGAGCCTTAAGGTTGGGACAGGTTATGCTAAATGCTGTTTGAAGAAGGTACTAGAAGACGATAATTCACAATTATTTTTCCTCCCACGCATTCTTCTGTCCGACTTCTGTAATTTGTGTTCTGTCTTTTCTGATCCTAACCTGTCTCTTTTTTTAATTAGGATTTGTAAATTAGCAAAATCCAATCTTGTTCATGTCTAGTTGCTAACTCCAACAATAATGAAGACATAATGCTAAAATCACAATTAATATTTGACGGGGAAGAGGGAGACACATTGTAGCTCCGTCCTACTTATCCACTGTCTAGGGTGGGAAAACTTCTGACCCACTGGATGTTCCCAGCATGTCAACCCTAATCCTTCTCTTCATTAAACTAGGGTGAGGATTGGTCATAAAAGTTACTTTTTCATTGCTATTGTATTGAGGGAAAGGGGGGGTCTAGAACAGTGGTGGCGAACCTATGGCACGTGTGCCAGAGGTGGCACTCAGAGCCCTCTCTGTGGGCACGCGTGCCATGCCCCAGTGATGGCAACCGTCCCTCTTCAACCAGCCGCCCGCTAACTCGCCGAGGTCCCACGTGGCTGGATCCATCCTGGCATGGCTGGTTTCCCTTCCCCCTGTCCCATCCCTCCTGGCCTTGCATGCTCTCCTTTTCCCAGGCACGACCCACTGCATCGCCTCCTCAGCTGTTGTCCATCCGTCCAGCTCAGAGGTGGCTTCTCTGAACTGCTGGCGGCGGACTGTGGAGCCCCAGAGTGCACCGGTTGATGGGCCGGCAGGCTGTGGCTGCTGATGGACACCGTCACCCCCCATGCACTCGCTGTCCTCTGTGCGGGGGCCGATGGTGTCAGGCAGCAGCCATCCCGGCCCCTGCCTCGCCTTGCCCCGTGACAGTGGCACCCCCACCCCGCCTCGCCTCAGCCCGCAGGACGAGCCCACCTTGGCCACACCCACCCAGTCTGCCATGACCACCACAGCCACGCCCACCCAGTGGGCCATGCCCACTGGCACCCGGTGCTAAATAAGTGGGTTTTGGGTTGCAGTTTGGGCACTCGGTCTCTAAAAGGTTCGCAATCACTGGTCTAGAACTATGAAATATAAATAAATAATACATAAAACCTCAGCCAACATGGCTATTGCAGGGGATCCTGGGAATTAGTTCAGCATCTGGCAGGCCATTGTCTTAAAAGTTCCTTAGGTGAGCATGACACAATACTGAACAACTGGGATGTTTCTCTCATAGTTATGTTATTTTTCTACGTCTGTATGATCCATAATGGCGGCTGGCCCTTTCTGCAGTCTGCCTCCCTTAGCAATAGTAATCGCACTTGGATTCATATACCTTCCATGTGATGATGTTGTCACGTCTTTGAACCAGCTCTTCCCTTTTTCTCTTCTCCACCCCCTTTGCAAATTGTAATACTTTTGAATAAATATTAGATGGAAAAGGAGGAGCTGGTGGAGCTGCTAAAGGTTGCCTGGAACGTCTGGCGCTGTTGGCAATTCCAGTAGTTGTAATCTCAGAACGTGTCTAGAATGTGGAATGATGTCAGAAGATTGTTTTCCTGGGGGTGCTTCGTATCATTGTCTCTCTGGTACTGTTCATAAGTGCTGATGCTCTGCCTTCCAAATTCCTCACCAAACAAACATGGATGGGATCTTCAGCCCTTCTCCCCACTCCCCACTAATGTAATTTGGTTTCATTTCTTTGGCTGTTCCTTCTAGTTACTTGGGAGATAAAGTCAAAATGNCCAATTAAAAACAAATATTTACCGCTGTGTTACCATTAAAATTCTAATTAAAATTGTCCCTATTTAAAATTCTCCCTAGGCCAGACCCGCTTGCTGAAAAAGCCATGTCTTGAGGGCGCGGCGAAAAGATAGGAGATCCGGAATCGTCCGGATCTCGGGGGGTAGTTCGTTCCAGAGGGTAGGGGCACCCACAGAGAAGGCCCTCCCCCTGGGGGTCGCCAGCCGACACTGCTTGGCCGACGGCACCCTGAGGAGGCCCGCTCTGTGGGAGCGTACTGGTCTGTGAGAGGAAATCTGTGGCAGAAGGCGGTCTCAATTAATGTTCTCTAGGATAGTAACTTTGAAGCATATTGGGGCTTCAACCCCCTCAAACTCCCATTATGGCTGAAAATTTTGAGAGCTGTAGCTAACAGATTTCAAGGGAGCCTTTACAAGACAGACTAACCCAAGGGGTGGGTAACTATGGCAACCTTACGGCCCGTGGGCTTCAACTCCTAGAATTCAACCAGCCATGCTTCAAGGAATTGAAGTCCACAAGTTGTAAAGTTGCCATAGTTGCCCACCCCTGGACTAACCTATGACGGAGCTGATTTTTCTTGTAGGGTTCCTTCTTCTGACATTGTGTCACATAGACATTGCACATACTGGACAATGCCTGCGATGTCAATAAAACCAGAGAAGAAAAATCTTTTAATGCAGCATCCTGTTTCTCACAGGATATGAGTAAGGCATGAAGGAAACAGCCTTCTCCAATGATTGTTTGCTCAGAAATGATATTCAGAATTGGTATTCAGAGGCAATACCTCTGCATGTAGGGGATGTCTGTGCCATCCCACTTAATAATACCGTTTCTGCTATAAAATTTGCCTAATCCCCTTTTAAAATCCCGTTCCACCACATATTGTGACAGTGAATTCCACTAATTATGTTCTTCCTTTCGTCTGATCGACATCTCTATCAATTGAACTGAATGTGGGTATTTTTAAGAGACTTTTTGTGGTCCATTCGCAGCATATATTTCCAAATATGGTTCAAATCTATTAATTGCCAGTCTTTTGTTCCCTGACAGATGATGTGCAAGCAGTTAATTGAGGTAGTTGTCAAGTCGATCACAGATGGGGCCCGGCAGCACCAGCAAGTAAGTGCAGATGCAAACCAATTGAGAAGGGAAGATGTGTTTTAGGCAGTGGGTGATCCGGTGGAGATTATACACTAGACTTACATTGTCACTAAATGATAATTTTGTTTCTTAGATTAATAAAATATTTGAACCTAGCCGCTCCTGCTTGTAATACTTGCACCCTAGTGTTAGATAAACCAGGTTATTAAGGCTTTTGCATCTAAAAATAATTATGGTTTAGCATAATTTGTGAGCCCAGGTTACGAGTGAGTTCCTGTCTCATTCCTTTCCCCCTTAATTTACAAATTTCCTTTATGGTTGGTATTATACCTATGTCGGTGCTAATTATGATTAGCTTCTATCAGGGTCCCTAGCATTTTTACCAAGATGATGACAGTTGCATTACAATCACATATGGAGCCTTAAGGTTGGGACAGGTTATGCTAAATGCTGTTTGAAGAAGGTACTAGAAGACGATAATTCACAATTATTTTTCCTCCCACGCATTCTTCTGTCCGGCTTCTGTAATTTGTGTTCTGTCTTTTCTGATCCTAACCTGTCTCTTTTTTTAATTAGGATTTGTAAATTAGCAAAATCCAATCTTGTTCATGTCTAGTTGCTAACTCCAACAATAATGAAGACATAATGCTAAAATCACAATTAATATTTGACGGGGAAGAGGGAGACACATTGTAGCTCCGTCCTACTTATCCACTGTCTAGGGTGGGAAAACTTCTGACCCACTGGATGTTCCCAGCATGTCAACCCTAATCCTTCTCTTCATTAAACTAGGGTGAGGATTGGTCATAAAAGTTACTTTTTCATTGCTATTGTATTGAGGGAAAGGGGGGGTCTAGAACAGTGGTGGCGAACCTATGGCACGCGTGCCAGAGGTGGCACTCAGAGCCCTCTCTGTGGGCACGCGTGCCATGCCCCAGTGATGGCAACCGTCCCTCTTCAACCAGCCGCCCGCTAACTCGCCGAGGTCCCACGTGGCTGGATCCATCCTGGCATGGCTGGTTTCCCTCCCCCCTGTCCCATCCCTCCTGGCCTTGCATGCTCTCCTTTTCCCAGGCACGACCCACTGCATCGCCTCCTCAGCTGTTGTCCGTCCGTCCAGCTCAGAGGTGGCTTCTCTGAACTGCTGGCGGCGGACTGTGGAGCCCCAGAGTGCACCGGTTGATGGGCCGGCAGGCTGTGGCTGCTGATGGACACCGTCACCCCCCATGCACTCGCTGTCCTCTGTGCGGGGGCCGATGGTGTCAGGCAGCAGCCATCCCGGCCCCTGCCTCGCCTTGCCCCGTGACAGTGGCACCCCCACCCTGCCTCGCCTCAGCCCGCAGGACGAGCCCACCTTGGCCACACCCACCCAGTCTGCCATGACCATCACAGCCACGCCCACCCAATGGGCCACGCCCACTGGCACCTGGTGGTAAATAAGTGGGTTTTGGGTTGCAGTTTGGGCACTCGGTCTCTAAAAGGTTCGCCATCACTGGTCTAGAACTATGAAATATAAATAAATAATAAATAAAACCTCAGCCAACATGGCTATTGCAGGGGATCCTGGGAATTAGTTCAGCATCTGGCAGGCCACTGTCTTAAAAGTTCCTTAGGTGAGCATGACACAATACTGAACAACTGGGATGCTTCTCTCATAGTTATGCTATATTTCTATGTCTGTATGATCCATAATGGCGGCTGACCCTTTCTGCAGTCTGCCTCCCTTAGCAAT